CCCAACCCCAACCCCAACCCCAACCAACCCCCCCAACCCCAATGCAATGCAATGCAATCCAATTCAATAAATCCAGTCAACCCAGTCCAACCCGACCCAATCCAACCCAATCCGAATCCGAAATCCAATCTGTTTCGATCGCAACCACTAACAGTTCTGACTGCATAAATGGATAATGAAAAAACAGGATAACGTTGCATCGAGACAAAAAAAAGTTTAGGGTTTCGGTGCTGTTCAATCTGATGGAGAAGCAGAAGATGGTGAACTTAACCGATTGTGCAAGAGCCTGTTGTTGCACGTCCAATTGGGGCAACATGGCTTTGCGTGATGAACAGACCATGGACAGTCACCGGAACAGCCCAATGACGGTCGAGCGGTTTATGGAATGGCCGTCACATGTCAAAAAGGGAAATGACAGTGACGTTGTGGATTTCACAGAAGTCTATTTGATGGAATCACAGTTGTATGTATTGTATGGTGGCATTCTGGCCCGAGGCTCATGGTATAGGGGCGCCCTGCTTTCGCAGCAATGGCTGAGAGGCAGGAAGCGCGACCCTTGGTGCTGCGTGGCCGCCTCAGATTACTCCATCTTGCAATCCTTTTGCCGATAACGGGGCGCAAACGCTTGGTGCACGGCCAGGAACAAGCACTGGTCCAGTTGATCTTCGGCCTCAGCGACAGGTGAAGACATACATGTCTGTTTGGGTCGAGCAGAAAAGCAGACCCAGCACTTTCCCCAAACAGAATCCTGATCTGTGATGATGAAATTTGTGCTTCCGCATCGCCGGTCCGCCTCTTGAAGGCAACGCGGATCAGCCTCGTGAATGGAGGCCCTCAGAAAACGATCAGCAAGGCCTGCGTTTGATAAAATTCTATGTTCGTGCTTGTTTCGTCTGACATGAGGACTGGTGCCGTCAAAGATGTCAGAATATTTTTTTGATTTAACGTTAACGTGGCTGCACCTTTGACAGTTTCGGACAACTCCGTGGCTAGTCACCCACCCAATCGCCAACAAGTACCGATTCTCGCCTTGACAGGGTTGGCTGAGAAGCGATGGTGGTGCATATCACAAATCAGTGAAGCAGGCCAGGATCTTAATGTCTTACCGTGGCCTCGCGTGTGTTTCCACTGAAGCTGGTGCCTGAGAGTGCTCGTAAAACAGATTCCAGCAGCAAATGCTCTACATTTTGTAGTGTCGTTTCGGGGTTTGGGCAGGCGAGGCTAGAGGTTCTCGGAATTCAGGCTCAGACGTTGGATTGTTGGGTACGAGCGAGGCTAGAGGTTCTCGGACATTGGATTGTTGGGTACGACGGTTTGCCTGATGAACTTTGCATGTTGGCAGAATTAGCAAATCAAGACGTTCATCACACATGTTCCGGCAAACGCAAGTTTGGGATGTTTTCGCAACGATGTCGCAGGCTCCTAGATCGTTGCGCACTGCCAGGCAATGATGATCGCCGCAGAGCAGATCAGGTTGTTGGACGCCAAAGAGCTGTCCGTGGCCTCTGCCTACAGCTCTTCCGACGACTTCGAAGCGATCCAGGCCGGCTGAATCCAAAGTTTATTCACCAACATCTCCATGTCTCCAGGCATGTAGCATCCACAGAAGCTACATTGCCGGAGCAAAGGATCCTAAAAGGAGTTTCGCTCTAAGTCTCTTAGTTATATAGTCGCAGAACGCACACATTCCAGGCAAAGATCAAGACTTTGCTGGAGGGACAGGCGCACTTCACAGTGACAGGCACGGCTTGGATTGCTCGTGTCGAGTCGGTGCACAGCAATGTCTGAAAACTTAGCCTGAAGTCAAAGCGCTTTAGTCTTCATAGTTCAGTGATAATATCTCTGCAGCTACAGGCTTGCTGTAGGTGTTCTTGAAGCCGTGACGAAGGATATGCATGGGTTCTGTTGTCGAGGTGCGGCACAGAAGAAGCTTCAGAATGTGGTGCAGCACCGGGAAGAAAGAAAGAGGGAGATGCTGATGCTTTGCAGCAGCCAAATCCCAGAAGGCAAAGCCTTCACTGGGGCATTCCCTTCTTGTGTCTTTAAGGGGTTTCTAGGTTGAGGGATTCCCGGCATTGAGCAAGGACTTGAATTCCAAGAAGGAGCCTCCATGTACGGCTTTAATGAGGGATTCGCGAAGAATACCTGGTGTTGTTCCTCCATCTTAGGATAAAGATCTCCAAAAGCCGCCCTTGCTGCAACGCACGGTCGGCAACTCAGCCGGGCTTCTGGTTGAATTGAAGCTTGCGATTCTTACCTGAATCGAGCGGGCAAGGGTTTAAAGGGGAAGCCAGAAGGCAGGTGTAGATCTTCGTGGCCGAGAGCTCTCTACTACTTGTAGGTTCTGAAGGTGGTGCCCAAGTGCTTTTGAGCCGGTTTGGTTTCCAGGGTGGAGCGCAGCTTCATCATCGACAATGGTGACCTGCTCGTGTACAGGGACCATCATCCCAATGCCAAGGTCAAGGCCGGCTGCGTGAGTATGGAAGCCATCCAAAAACGCTCTACTACTTGCAACTGTATGGGTCAGAGCCCTGAAGTGGGTAAACAAGGCTAGGGTCTCAGCCTGTGACCTCATGGGACACCTTGAAGCCGAAGTCTCTTTCCAGGCGATTTATCACTTGAAAGATGCTACCTGCTTCTACGAAGAGCCGCGCACGGCCTCTCTGCCAAAATGGCAAGAAGGCACGTCTCCAATCCTTTTTCGCTCGCTGTTCACAGCATTCACGTCAGTCGCCCGATTCATGATGTGTGGCCTTTTGAGAGACTTTTCAGTTCACGATGCCATATCCCCGTACAAGACATCCCTGTCCGATACACCTCATGACGGTGCTAGATCTCTGAGTTCTACTTGATTCAAGCGTGTTCCACGACCCTCAGCGCTCCTTTGCAGATTCCGCAACGAGCAGGCTATCAGATGCGCCTCCGTGTAATTTGTACAGACAGAGAAAAATCTGGAAAGTCTCCGCCTGGAGCCCAGAAGGGATTTGCGTGGGTGGTTTGGAGTTTCAGCTGTGATCGGGCAAGCTGGATGTAGAGCTGAGCCTTCGATTTCCCACCGCCAGCCTAAGCCCTAAACTCAAAGCCGCGAGTCCGGCTCAGTGCCGTCACATGCCGAACCGACCCAGCGCACACAGACACACGCAGACACACACACAGACAGACAGAGACAGACAGACAGACAGACACACAGACAGACAGACAGACAGACACACAGACAGAGGCACACATACGGACGTGCACGCACACACACACACAGAGACACACACACACACACACACGTGCGTGCGCACAGAGCACTGGAAATTCAGTCTTGAAGTCACTTGCACTGACTGAGTCACCGGCGCGGT